AGTTCTTCCCATCAGGAAGTTCTTTCTAATGTTTTGCAATTTGAATCACTTTGCAATTTGAATCCATTGGTTCAGGTCCGACCCTCTGGAGCTGTAGGAAACAAACTTTATCCACATGGTATGCTAACTACCTACACAGTTACTACCTAAGGGGACTTTGTACTAAAATGGCAATGAATGACATTTTCAAAAATAACTTTTCAAGCCTTGGGCCTGCCAGAGGCATCTGCTTGGTAGGGTAGCCATGTGTCTTGCACCGTAGGTGACAGACATTATTTGGAAGATGGTCACAGAAGATTGGCCTTCTTTGGAAGATGTCCTCTCTTTCAAGTGTGATCTGATCCAGGTCTGGTTTAATGACAAAGAACTATCAGAAGGAAGAATAAAGGCTTGGGAACAGAAAGAGGACAACGGATTTTTGGAACATCCACTGAAATGCACACTTCTTGGAGAGAAACATTCAGATGAGGTTGCCGGACTTCCTAGTGGGATTCCATGATGCTCCTTCCAACAATCAGGCCAAGATGGAAAACAAGGACATCTGGCAACCCTGAAAGAGTGGATCAACCACCGATTCCCCAGTTGGTGAGCTTGGCCAGAAAGTTCCTCCAGCAGATGTTTGTCCTTAGGCAATGAGAGCTTCGCTGGACACATCCTCCTATGTCTTTGGAGCAACATGCCAGTGCAATGGAAATTTCAGTGAAGCTCACTGGCCAGCATTAAGAAGCGTTGACCTGTTCATCAGTCCCAGGATGCAAAGCCGGCTCTGAGAAGATGCACACATGCACACCGATAAACACGCAGAGGTTACTGGCTTTTCATTCACTTGGGAGTTGAAATGAAAAAGGACAGACGATAAGGGGCATTCAGATAATATTTGTCAGTGCTTGTTAGACACAGTCCTGCTTCCTTTTTCCTCCTCCTTTTTGTTTTTCCTGCTCTTCCCTGGTGCTTATGATCTGACCATTATTTTGTCTCTGCATTGTGCCTTCTCACTTTGGCGGATGAAATATGCAAAGGGGGAACTGTGTGCATTGGCAATGTGTATGTGTGAGCATTGCATCGGGGGAGCCCTATTGAGAAAGAAAATAATTATTGTTACACCTTGGAGCACATTAATGAATCCATTAATAATTGATCAGCTGTTATGTTTTCTCCTAATACTCATCAAAATCTTTATGAATCGGAGGTACAATCCGCAACATCTCATTACAACATTTGCTCAAAAAGGGGGAAAGAAATCAATGCATTTCTAACTTATTTGTGTCAAAACTCATTTATTTCCACAATAACATGGCCTGTCAAACCTTGACACCCTGTTAATAACATCCAGCTCATTTGCATATTATTCAAATCTATTCCCTTTTCTTTTATCAAATGGGGGACTTTAAAAAAAAAGGCACCGCAGACACGTACAAAGAAGAAGAAGAAGAAGAAGAAAAAGAAGCCAGCCTCATTCCAGCTTGCGCACTGGGCTGCTCATCTTTCCACATTAGCTCCATTTGCACAGCGAGAGAAGAGTTACCTGTAGCAACTAATTATGCAGTACTTTATGCATATTAATTAGCTTTATGAGCAGCCCTCCATCTAGTCTTCAGGGAAGGAAGAGTGAGAGGAGAATACCACAGTGAGAGGCCTGTTCTTGGCAAAATGCAAGCAAGTGAGGGACAGAACATTTGCAATGATCTTCTCTTCGATTTGCCCCCAGTCTTAAAAACAGTCAGTCCTTAGTGGGGAATAGAGCAGGGGAAAGGCTTCTCTGTTTTGGTTTGAAGTCATGGTTTTTTGTGTGTGTGTGTGTGCCTGTAAAATAATTGTCCATTGCTGACTTAAGATGGCCTTATTAAATTATTCATGTTTATTAATAATCTTCTTCCCATTCTTTGGAAGGAAGACAGCATCCTCTTAGTGTCATATGCAAGTAGAAGTTGCAATATGCATACAGAGTGATTTTTTTGGACAATGCACAATGGTCATATCCAGCAGATGGTGGTGTAAGAAGAATGGCATGCATGGAACCATTGGGAAGTTCCATTGCAGTAGTGCATTAAAGTACACAGAGTAGTATATGGATGCACATTACCTCTATGTATTGTCTTTGCACAACGTGTATTGTGATTGCACAATGGATTGTCCAACCATGTGTATTGGCCACTGATCCATGCACTTTGCACCATGTTGGTACTCAGCATAGGTGCTGCATAACATAACCTCACCAGCAGATTGTTATACTATGCTGAAGCAATGCAGGATCTTGGCCATTGACTGGAATCCTGTTGGTGTCTTAGGTATGCACAAGTTCACCAACACAAATGGTTGGGCATTTTTGTCCAATGTAGAAAGTGATCATTCAGTTCAAGGCTGCAGTTGGGTCCATGGTTGCATGGTGTGTGTGTTGCAGAGAAAGGTCCATGTTGCTCATGGAGCTGGGCATTGTATTTGCAAATGTGCATTGTATATTTAGATTCACATTCAGTTGTGCTAAGTTGCAATTCATTAATGAGATGGCATAATTTCATGAGTATAAATTTACACTCCACTTCCTTGAAGTAGTATCCCAGGCTTTGTTTAGCCTTGTATATGATGCTGTTTCAAAAGATACTGGTAGTCCAGTCTGCTATGAATATGTCTATTTCTCTTTTTAAACTCATCTAAATGAAGGCAAATCAAAATTGAAAAGAGGGCAAATCATTCTGAAGGATGGAATGAGTTCACTGGACTTCCTCCCAAATCAAATAGGGCCACAACTCACTCAAGAGTTGAATTTGCTGCTGCTGTTGTAAATTGATGTCAAGTCAGCTTTGACATGTGATTTTATGAATAAGAGAACAAATATACCTTGTTATTAATCATTCTGCAAAGGTCTTGGAAACTCAGGGTCATTCCTTGGTTGAGTCTATCCACCTGTAATGTGGTCTCCCTCTTTTCATATTGCCTTCTGCTTTTCCATTTACAGTTGCCCCTCCATTCTGATGGAATTCAAGTCCACGGTTTTACACATTCCCAGAGAGTTGATCTCTGCTTAAATCAATGGGGTGCACCCCATTCAAACCTATGGGGCTTGAATATTTGCTAATCTCCGTTTTCACAGAACAGATCCAGAACAGATCCCCCACAAGAATGGAGGGACAACTGTATTGTCTTTTCTAATGAGTTATGCCATCTCATGATATGTCCAAAGTATGATAGCCTCATTTTAGTAATCTAGGAAGACTACAGGCTTGATTTGATCTAAGGCCCATTCATTTGAATTTGCAACAGTCCATAGTATCTTCATAACTCTTCTCCAGCACCACATCTGGAAACAATTGATTGTCTTCATGTCAGCTTTCTTCACTATCTAACTTTCACAACCATACATAGAAATCAGTAAAGTTGCCTCTGTGCAGTGTGAAATCATCATGGCAGAGATCCTGTTTTGGAATTGGATAGTGTAAATCCCTATATATGAAGTTATGCATTGGCATTGATTATGCTACACAGTCCTTGTGTTGAATAGCAAAGGTGCACATGCCAAATATGCAAGCAAATGGACATGCGTATACAATGGCACCATGTGCACACCTCTACTTCTGTGAGCTTGAAGTAAATGCACATTGGACAAAAATGTTCACCTGCTTTCATAGGGAAACATGGCACATGTATGAGATGCCAACAGGTTTCCAGCCCATATGTAAACATGTAAACAAAGCAAGCAGGGAGCATGTATCTTGTTTTTCAGGTGCATTGTGCTTCTAAGCCTCGAAGTGTGAGGGCTTTTTTCAAAAAGGTGCATGCCTTGCATACCTCATACATGTGTAAAAAAAGTGCAATTATTATAGTTGCTGCTGTGGTAGAAAAAAAATGCTGATCTTTATTCCATAAACAAGGTGCTTGGAGAGGCATGCTTTATTTTTAATGAGAATTGTGCTTTCTTGTGAAAGCCTCTGGGACTGAGATGATCTCTTGTAAAACAAGACATGTTCCCCCTCTATGTGTCTTGCTTACATGTAAAATAAAGTGACAGTTTTGCCATGGCTGTGGCAGATTCAGCAGCAGGATGGTAGTCGCTGTATGATCCTCTTCACCTGCAATCTAATCTGTTGTAGCTTGAGACTGTTTGCAAGGAAGAAAAACCTCCAAATCCAGATGTCTCCATCTTCAGCACTGCCTAAACAATACTACTTTTGGAATATGGGGTCCAATTCTCTTTCTACATCTTTAGGAAAGTCACTGGGTTGGATAACCAATTGGACTCAGTGGGACTTAAAGTTGCCAGGTGAAATAAGGAATGAGACTCCTGTCCTTTTAATGGTTGTGTAGAAGAGGGAATTTCAGCAGGAGCTGCTTATCAAGAAAGCAACACTTGCTGAAATCTCCTCTCCTACCCAGTCATTGAAGAGACTCCCATCCCTTAATTCACCGGCAACCTTAATGGGACTTAAGTAAATTATGACTTACGTGTCCTGCTGATTTCATTGATCTGAGTCTGTATATGAGAGTCAAGTGCCAAAGAGGTGGACCAAAAATACACAAATATTTTAGCTTGAAGATTTTACTGCCAGAAATTGGGCCGTCAGAGAGGAACTGGAATCTTTTAGAATAGAAAAACAGCAAAGAACAGCTTGGAAACTATTGCATGATGGTATCTTGGGAAGGAGCATTCATAACCTCTGACTGTCTCTGCTTGGCAGGCACAGTCCCAATTCATCCCACTTTTTCAGCTGCTTCTAAAATGTCCCAGTTTCTTTCTCTTCCTCCCACTTTCCTCCTTTGTTCTCAGCTTATTTCAATTGCTGCAAACAAAGCGCTAAAATTGTCTGCAGTCAATTATCTCAGGTTAGAGCAGAATCTTGCCCTTCCCAGTAGGCTCAGGCAAAAGCAGAGTGCTGCAGCCTCTTCTACATTGTATGTTCTACCTCATGAATAACTTTTGCCACCTTGATCACATTCTGATGTTGCTTGACCATGTGTCCTGCTTTGCATCTGTGAAATGTTTAGGGGTATGATAGTCTTAGGAAGCCAGCATGGCATAGTGGTTTGAGTGTTAGACTACAACTCTGTTGATCAGGGTTCGATTCCCAGCTTGGTCATGAAAGCCACTGGGTGTCCTTAGGCAAGTCACTCTTTCAGCCTCAGGGGAAGGCAATGACAAACCTCCTCTAACAAATCCTGCCAAGAAAAGCCTTGTGAAAGGTCACCTTAGAGTTGCCATAAGTTGGAAACAATTTGAAGGCAAATAACAACAGCAATTACAGTCTTATCCTTCAGTCATTCTTTCCCCTCTATTGTACACATTTTGCTTTTTACACTAGGTACAGATCTTGGTATATAACGGAATTACTTGAACACATACTACTGGCCTCCACTGACCAAACTCAGACCTACTTGGCCACATGTGTCTTGGTCTTCATCTGTCAAATGTTGTAGGGAATGGTCATGGAGAAGTCCATAAATGTGGACTGAGGTTATATAGGACCTGGATTCTGCCTCAGGGTTTGAATCCTGCAAAGATTCTATAATATAGGGCCTTTGCAGACTGTCAGAAATAGTGCACATTAAATTGAGGCACTGCCCTGGCTCAGTGCTAGGGAATCATGGGAATTGTATTTTTTTCTGAGACATTGAGCCTTCTCTGTCAGAGAGCTCTGGTGCCACAATAAATTACAGTTCTCATGATTCCCTAGCACTGAGCCAGGGCAGTGCTTCAATTTAATGTGCACTATTTCTGGCAGTCTGCAAAGGCCTATACTGTAATAAAAATTGTGCTTATCATATATACTCAACTATTAAGGTGACCTCATGTATATATTGAAAGTAGGTTTTGGTGCCAAAATTATGGATTTTGACATGACCCATGGATAGGCTGAGGGTAAAACCTAGGTGCATGTAACAAAGGATCTAAAGCAGTGGCTCCCAAACCACTGCTTCTCCATATGTTTTGAACTTCAACTCCCAGAATTCCTGACTTTTGGCCACATTGACTAGGGCTTCTGGGAGTTGAAGTCCAAACACCCCCCCCCCCCGAAGGGGGAACCACTGATCTAAAGGATGAAGCAAATAAAGACAATACCAAAAAACTTACAAAATTCTATCAGGCATCATTGTTTGTGCTCATCCTAAAGGCTGAATGGATGTGAGAGTCGAGGGGATTCAGTGCTTCCAGGACAGATGACACTCTTGCCTTTCACCAAGGGATGGCTCCTATTTTTATAAGAGTTAAAGTACAGTACTTTCATTGACCCATGTATAAGTCAACTTGGGAATTTTTGGTTCAAATTTTTGACTTCAAACTTCTAGACGTATACATGAGCACATACAGTAAAGTTGCTTTCTGTCTGTTTTCTAGTGTGCTTGATTTCAATAAACCCACTTTCAACAAACTCATCAGTGTCCTGTCTGTCTTGAGCTCATCTCCCCCTTCTGCCGCCATGCTTCCAACATCCCATCAAGGCTGTCAAACACAAGTTATCCCAGAATGGCAAGGCTGAAAGAGGACAACCTAAGCTTCAAAATGTGCAGTGTTGGCAGCTGGTCCCAGTCAGAGAGGAAGAATACTTTGCATGCAGATCAGCAGGCACAGTTGAACTCTGCCCCTTCCAGCATGCGGCCCGACTATCTCTCCAAGGGCTGCGACCCAAGATGGAGGAGTGTGTCAACAGGGCAGTTCGAACTGCAGGAAGCCCACCATTCCAGCCCAGGGAGCTCAGGGAGCCGTTTCCCTACCATTAAAAGACAGATTATCGCCTGATAACAATGGGAGACATTTAAAAGGGTGGGAAGGGGAGGCAGAAGGGGAAGATTTGATTTTATGCAACAGCAGATGTCTCTTAAGCAGTAAGCACAGTGTCAGATAGAGAGACTAATCACATTTCAGTCGCCTGCGCAGATCTCCGATTAAAATTCAGCGAGACAATTCCTTGGCTTGTAAAATGCAGCTTTCGTCAGAAAGGGTGGGAAAAGAAATGCATCGTAATTAATACAATTAAGTCAATCCCGTATCCAGCCCCCTCTCTCTTGTTTAAACTTCAGCATTGCTTGGAGTGGTTGGGTGCTCTTTGACTGTTTGGTCACGTGTTTTTAATTTTATTTTGAACTTATGCTTTAATTGTATTTTTAAAATGCTGGCATTTGAATCTGGTTGGCCCTTATATTGGAACACCGTTATATTGGAAAGATGGGGTATAAAACAAAGAGATAAATAAACCTTGATTATGGATATGTAATAGCAAAAGAAAGGAGGGAGTTTCCTTTGAATTTCTGTCCATATAGTAAATTGTAGTCTTCTCATATAGTAAACATGATAAACTAAAATGGCAGAGAAGTTTGTAAAATCTCCAAGGCAGAGGCTCAAATGAGATGTGATGGTAGAAGAAATGGTGAACCATCAACTGAAACTCAATGGCTTTTCCAGATAGATTTAAACAGAGGGTTAGATGTCTATTTGTGAAAGGAAAGTGGTCATGCAAATTGGAGGATGATGGGAATTGTTGCCCAAAAGCTTAGCTTTCCCAAGCTCTAGGCTAGCTCTAGCCCTAATTCCCATGGGGCAAGGGGAGCACTTTTCAGATTCAAGTGCTTTAGGCATTCACTTGTTGTTTTTTAAATACAGGTGGAGTCTCCCTTATCCAAAATGTTTTGGATTTTTTTCAGATTTTGGAATATTTGCATATACGTAATGAGAGATCTTGGAGATGGGGCCCAAGTCTAAACATGACATTCATTTGTGTTTTGTACACACCTTATACACAAAGCCTGAAAGTAAGTTTATACACAATATTTTTCATAATTTTGTGCATGAAACAAAGTTTGTGTACATTGAACTACCTGAAAGTTGTCTCAGCCATCCATATGGACAATTTTGGATTTTGGAATAGTTAGGATTTTGGAATTCCAGATCAGGGAGATTCAGCCTTTGCCTTTTTAGTTACCTTATGAATGACAGACCTCTATGAGCCTTGCTGATCAATATCCCTGCATAGGTCTTGCAAACTCAAGGCCATGGCTCCCTCAATGGAGTCAATCCACTTGTCTGCTTCTTTTCCAGTAAGTCACCATTTTCCTGTGCAGTACCTCTCAAAATGGGGAAAGAATGTGACATAACATCATTTCCTATCACCATTTTGAGAGGGACTGCACAGGAAAATGGAGGTATTTGGGCTTACAGCTTAGAGACACCTGGAGGAATTGGCCTTTGGCCCCTATGCAGTTATCCACTCCACCATAGTTTAGGTTCTTGGAAGATACCCAACAGCTTTATTTCCTTTGTGAGCAAACAAATTCTATATGTGTTAAGATCTTTTTGAGAATGAGGAGGTGAGGAAGCAACAACCCAAATGGACTTTTGGCAACCATATGTAGTAGTTGTCAAGCAGATGAGGAAGGGGCATATGTTGTCAGGCACTTTGACAATGGGCACCGTCATACCCTCCAACATTTCACAGGTGAACAGTGGGACAGGTGTAGCCATGAGTGTGGTCAAGATGGCAAAACCTATTAAGGAGGAAGAACAAGATTGCTTTTGCTTGAATGCAAGATTGTATCCCATCCTTTCCCCCTCTGCTGAGTTAATCAAGTGTAAACTACTTTTGCATTTTGCAGCAATTGAAACAAGCTGAAGCCAAACAGGGTAAGTGGGAGGAGGAGAGAGAAACTGGGACATTTTAAAAGCGGATGAGAAAGCGGGATGGCAGAGAATTAATCGAGACTGTCCCTTCCAAGCAAGGACAGTTTGAGATTATAGCTTTGTCCATTGCCCAGCAAACTACCTATCCTTCACCCACCTGATGCCCCTTGGCAGCTGGCAGGTTTTAAAGGTTATGAAACAGCCATGGCCTTGCTCAAAACTGAGGAATATTATGGTCTATGGCAGCAATGCTTCCCAGGCAGTAAAAGAAAACCAGGGCTCCATATCTTAAGAGGAAAGGAGCTGCACAATGATGTACACAGGCTGATGGGACTGGATTAACCCATTAATAAATGGGAGGTGAAGAGAGCAATCTTGTTGAATGTAATGTATGCTAATGATGTGACCTGGCTAATGGGGCCCTTTTCTATATTCTGTCATTGCGCGCATCAATTATGCAGCCTCAATTATCACTCTGTTTTTGTATCACACGACGGAGAAATGAGAGACTTTTAATAGAGATGTTTCACCCAGTAAAATGCCTGATTAGCTTATGAAAGCTGAAAGTTGGGGAGAAAAGTGGCGCAGCGTTGGAAGCGGCAGGGAGGGTGGCCAAGGATGTCTGGGAGTCAAGAGCAAAGGGTGGTGGGCAAGGGAGGCTTTAGAGCTTGACTGAATTAGCCAAAAGATATGGCTCTCAGCAACGACCTTTGTAGCCATGGCCTCAGCTGCGTTGGGTTCATCAGCAGAGGAGAACCAAAAGGCTTTGGAGTGGAATCTTCTGACCATATGAAGACTATACGTGAAGAGATACGAGGTTCAGAGAGCCCTCCAGATGCTGTTGGAACAGCATTCCTCATCATGGCTGTGTTGTCTTCATCACTGGCTCCATCTGTCCCAACTTTGCATGGACAGTCCTAGTTAATCCTCTGTCCTCCCACTTTTGCAGCGGCTTTTCAAATGTCCCAGTTTCTCTCTCCTTCTCTCACTTTCCCCCATTGTCCTGGGATGTGTGTTTGTAAACCACCCCGGATTGGGCAACCATTGGGCGGTATAGAAATAATAATAATAATAATAATAATAATAATAATAATAATAATAATAATAATTGTTGTTGTTGTTGTTAACTGCCATCAAGACAACTTTTTAAAATATATTTTTTTATTATCTTAAAAACACATAACACACAACACATACATCTATATAAATACAAATACAATAACTAACATTTAAACTTAAACAAACATAAAATAAGACTTTCCTTCCTTTACTATGAATATAAGTTATTTAGATACATTGACTTTCATATATTTTCTTTAACTCTTATTTTCTGATACCTTGAGTATACTCAAATCTATATTATGTTATGAAATACATACTTTACATCTGTTTTCTTTACCCGTTCCACACCATATACGAAACCTGAGCATCTGCTGTCTTGACCAAGACTGAATTAAACATATTTATATATGTATTTCACCTTTCTTTATCTACAATTTGACTTCTTTTCATATCTGTAACATTTATTTTGACTTTTTGTTTAATCTTTCAAAGCAATCGCACTGTTCTCGCCCCATTTTTCTATAAAATATTTCATGATCGGGGACCATTCTTTTTCAAATTTGTTTCTAGTTTGTCCTTTCATGAGAGATGTCAGTTTATCCATTTCCATAATGTCATATAATTTAAGCTGCCATTCTTCCAAATTTGGAGCCTCTTTCCTTTTCCATTTCTTTGCAATTGATGGTTCTTGCTGCGTATATCAAAGACAACTTTGACTTATGGAGACCCCCTGAATGAGAGACCCCCAAAGTTACCCTAACATCAACTGTCTTGCTCAAGTCTTGCAGACTCAGGGTTGTTGTGACTCCCTTGATGGAGTCTATCCATCTGGAATGTGGTCTTCCTTTTTCCCTACATCCTTCTACCTTGCCAACCATTATCATCTTTTCTAATAAGTCCTGTCTTCTCATGATATGGCCAAAGTATGACAGCCTCAGTTTAGTCATCTTGGCTTCTAGGGCCAGTTCAGACCTGATTTGCTCTAGGACCCATCTATTAGTCTTTTATAGCAGTCAATGGTATCCTCAGAAGCGTGTATGTGCCTTGAAGTCGCCTGTCAACTTATAGTGAACCCATGAAATTTCATAGGTTTTTAAGTCAAGGAGTACTCACAGATGATTTTGCCAGTTCCTTCCCATGTTTATTTCAATTGTTGCAAATTTAATTCAAAGTGCAAAAGGAGTTCACTCAGTTCATTCAGCTCATGGGGAGGAAAGAGATGGAAGGGGCAGAATCCTGCCCTTCCCAGTTGGCTCAGGCAAAAGCAAACAGCTTATCCATTCTTCATTTTATGATCACCCATTTTTCCATCTGTGAGATGTTGGATAGCATGTATTGCACAGCAGAGGGTTGGATTATATTGCCACCAAAGTCCCTTTCAGCTGTATAATCCTCCAGATAGGTGAGCTGATTTAATAGTTTTGTTGTTGCTGTGAACTCTTTCTCAGAGGAAAAAGAAATAACAGCTGACTTGGCCTGAATGATTAACAATAGATCAGTATTCACCACTTTGGTAGACTCAATTAATTGATATGGCCCTTATCAATAGAGTTCAACCCTGCGTATCACCACTGACCTTCTGTCACAGGTTATTATATGGGGAGATTTCTTTTGCAATTAAAATAATTAAAACAAAGTGACCAGATATCCACACTTATCACTGTGGCTGTGATAACATACCCTCCAACATTTCACAGATGAGAATAGTGATTCCCTTGGGTACTTGCTACACAAACACCTCTTTTCACACCCAAGATCACTGCCTAAACTCCATCACCGTTTGACTGCAACATTGCTAAAAAGTCTGCACCGCTCTATGATGGTATTTCTATCCTGAAAATTAGCTGGTTCTTTTTAGACACACAAAGGCATGGCTCTCGGGGTTAAACACAAACATTTGAAATAAATCAATCATTGGGCCACAATGACCATTTTCAAAACACTCCAGCAGAAGACAAGGGCAAAATGGATGGCTGTGTGTGACTTGATGTGCCATGAATGTACCTACACTGTAGATATTTGTTGTTGTAGTGTGACCTCAAGTTGTTTTCAACTTATGGTGACCCTAAGGCTGGGTTTTTCTCGGCATGATTTGTTCAGAGGAGGTTTGCCATGGTCCTCTCCTGAGGCTGAGAGCATGTGACTTGCCCAAGGTCACCCACTGGATTTTATGGCCGAGCTGGGAATTGAACCCCAGGCTCCAGAGTTGTAGTCCAGCACTCAAACCACTATGCCATGCTGGCTCTCAAGACAAGACTACTGGAGCTATAATCTTGCATCTTCTTATCATTAGGAGAGAGCTGAAGGCTTCTGGGAATCTGACAAACAGGATAAAAAATATTTTCCATTTTGTTGCTGGAGTACCTTCAGGACTTACAAGAAAAGCTTCAGTAGCTGTTTGCATCTTATGCATCCATACGTTCCCCTCCAGAAGCAGGTTGCATCTACACTGTAGAAATAATGCAATTTGACACCACTTTAAATGTTGTAGCTCCATCCTATGGAATCCTGGGATCTGTAATTTTACAAGGTCTTTAGCCTTCTGTGCCAAAGAGTGCTGGTGCCTCAAAACTACAGATCCCAGGATTCTGTAGGATGGAGCCATGGCAGTTACAGTGGCCATGGAATTCTATGTGTAGATACTTGGCCTCAGTTACATTTAGGCCATGAAAACCAAAAGCATGGGTATAGGATGGGGGATATTTGGCTTGACAGTACTACATGTGAAAAGATCCTTCGGGTTATTGTTGCTCATAAGTTGAACCTGACACAGCAGTGTGATGCTGCAGCAAAGAAGGCAAATAATGTTTTTAAACTACATGAATTGAACCATAGTTTCCAAGTCAAAGGAAGTAATAAGCTGTAAGTCAGAAATGACTTGAAGGCACATAACAACAAACTCAGACCATGGAGATGAATAACCTAAATCCTTTTCCACACTTAGTTATTGACAGTAAAAGCTTTCACTTAAAATACATTGGTTTTTTTTTTGTGTCCCGATCCTTTCACCATTGGAACCACCCTTCACTAGAACCTGCCATCTCCTGAGTAATCTGAAACTGAATTTGGTTTCTGGGCTAAAACTTCCTGATCCATTTTAGATACATTTCTGTGCCTCTGACTTGTGCCTGACATATACCTCAAATATTTCAATGATCTCCAGATCAGGAGGTCTTCCGGTGCAAATAATTTGTTTTGCTAATGCAACGGTGTGTGCAGCAAAGCCCAGATCCACTCAGGAAATCCAGAACCAGGGCATGACCAAGAAATGTCTATCCTGATTCTTCTTGAAAAATATATATGCCTATATCATAAATCCATATTGGTTTTCATATATGTGCGTGCAGCCAGAGGTGTGGAGAGGTAGACACAAGATGGCAAGGAAACCTTTAAATCCATATTTCATATGGAATATATATAAATATATTATATATTCTAGAAGATTTTTAAGGAGGAAAAAAGTGTGCTGTGAACAGGTGGTAGATATAAGTACCCAGCTGTGCATTATAGCTCAGTTTATGGCCATTTGATAATCTTGTCTGTACCTATTTTATGACAGATTTCCCCTTGTATGCAACATTGCTGTAAATCTCATGGCAAAATAAATGACTTTATGAAGAGTGGAAGTTATTATCCTGTCTCCTGCCTTCTTGCTGTAGAGAACTCCAGGGGATCCAACCAATGTACATCTGGAGGTGGGAGTGATGGATCAAATGGCTAAAAGAAAGCAAAATGAACCAGTGGGACAAAAGATTAGGAGAGTAAGTGTGTTTGTTATGTGACTGTTCTCCCATCCTCCTATGGGGAAGTTTCCAGGAAAACATTCCTATTATCCACTAGGTGGCAATAGAAAGAAACACTTACTTGCTTCCAATGGTCAATTTTTAATTCTTACTGGACGGCTTTCATTTCACAACACCTTCAACCCTCCCTTCAAACTATCAGATTAGATCTTCTCAGACCTGCAAGCAAGGGATTTTGATGTCTGGCTAATACAAGTATTCAGGGGTAGCTGTGTTGGCCCTATAGCAAAGTACAATATCACCCAAAATCCACAAAACAGTGGTGTCTTTATCGGTACCACCAAAATGCACATTATGCATGTTGCAAGCTTTCAAAGTTCCACTGGCTTCTTCATCTGGAAAAGGTGTTAGCAATGATAGAAGTGAAAGAAAGAAAGAAAGAAAGAAAGAAAGAAAGAAAGAAAGAAAGAAAGAAAGAAAGAAAGCTGACAGTGTTAGTCATAGCTCTGAATTTGGTCATGTGTTGTAGGTGTTGTCAGTTCATGTGAAATATGTGCAATATGTATTGCGCTGGCGTGCAATAATAAAGTACTAAAAGTAAACTAAAGGACTGCAAAAGCCCTGATGATACAGGTAACATCTGTTTGAAAAGTTGCAATGAAGCAAGGTGAGTCCATCAACTTCCAAGATAGCCCATTCCCTTCTCAAGCAGCTTTAACACCAGGAAGTCCTTCCTCATGCTTAGTTGGAAGACCCTTTCTTGCAATTTGAATCTGTTGATCTGAATCCTATTGTCTGGAGTAGCAGTAAACAAGTTTGCACCATCTTCCATCTGGAGGCCCATCAAATATTTGGGGATAGCTAGTATATGATCTCTCAGGCTGCATCTACACTGCAGCGTTAATGCAGTTTTGGCACTGCTTTAACTTTACGGAAATCTGGGATTTGTAGTTTTGTGAGATATTTAGCTGTCAGAGAGCTCTGGTGCCACAACAAACCTCAAATCCCAGGATTCCATAGCACTGAGCCATGGCAGTTAAAGTAATGTCAAATGGCACGAATCCTGTAGTTTGGCAGCAGCCATAGTCCTCTCTTCTCTAAGCTAATCCCATCCATCTCCTTCAGCTGCAGACACTTGATCCTCTTGGTTGTCCTCCTGTAGAAATGTGCACACATCAGTCCCTGCATTTCAATATTCATTTCGATCCCACTAATATTTGCTTGGCTTTATCTGTGTGGACAACTGCAGCCCAAACCTTCTTCACTCTCTTCTTCCACTCTGTCTTTATGGATCTTCATGGAAGCTATCCAAGGTGCTGAACTTACTGTGACATTAGGGAATGGTGCAATGAGTGCACAATGCACATCAACGCATGATGTACATCTGTATGCAATGTGCATTGGGCACTTTTTCTGGTTCGGCTACATCATAACCTAACACCACCCCTTTACTGAATACGTATCATGAAACTGACCAGTTGTAATTCCCACCTACGCAAGCCCACTTAGGAAGATGTAACTCCTGAACTGAGGCCAACACTTCATGCATCTGATAACATGACATCTGGTAATGGACATGAAATAGAAGCATAGAATTGTAGAGCTTCAGGAGATGGAAGGGATCCAAAAGGTCATCTAATCCAACATCTCACCAGTGTTTATAATCCACCAACAAAAGTGAGACCAACATCTGAGAGTGTCCACTTCACGGTCCTTATTCTCAAGGAAATCTTTCAACCCCTGTCCTCCCTCCCTTTCCTGTTTCTTTGGGGTACAAAACCTTTTACAAGCCCCTGGTTCTCTCCCAAATCTATCAAAACTCCTTCAATCTTGGCCATTTTTTGGGGGGGGAAATAAAATTTGAAGTAAATTTTGAGGCAATTTTTGCTCAAAAACCATGGCAGAAAGATGCCATGGTGCATGAAAAAAAGCACAAGATACCCCAAACCCAGCCCCCCAAGTCCCTCTTTTTTCCACAAAGCCCTTCTCAAAATGATGACCAGAAGTGACATGATCCTATTCTTAGACGGATTCTGACTGAAAAAAAAAAAAAACCCAAGCATTTTTGCATGATGTATGTGTATGTGTGTGTGTATTTTGGGGTTGGGGAATTGGCCACAATGCTGTTACTCACATCTGGTCTATCTAAACACACACACAGACACTGGCTGGATTTACTACTGATCCTTTTGCTACGCAATTTAAAAATGCAAGTACAATTGTGTTTGCACTATTCGTTTTTAAACCCAAGAAAGTGGCATACCGCAAAGAGTGTTGTTTTTACAAGATTCATGGGTACTGTGTGCTTATGACAGCCAGTGTGTAGTACTGCTAAGGCAATATCCATTTTCCCTCCTGCTCTCTCTCAGCAGTGATCATGATTGTACATTAGACAATGATGCTTCATCACACCTCCTAGGCAAGCTTAAGACCACATTGGGTTGCTTTATGCTCTCTCCTTGAGTTTAATGCCTATCATTTTCTTATGTTCTGGAATCCACATTATGGGCATAATGGGACTTGCTGGGCAGTATTTGTCAAACCTAATTGTGCCTTTGAATATGGCTGTCCATCTTTAAGATGCACAGAGCACAACGTAAATCCCACCAAAGGGTATCTATAGATGAGCTTTTCTCTCCTTCTGGAGGACTTGGCCTCTTCGATATTTAGCATCTATCTCATTTTAAGTTCAGTATATTTTTTTAGTCTCCAGACACGGCAAGATGCGGAAAAGAAGTTATATTATTTTTGTGCTCATTTGAGGGGTGGGAAGACGTGTTCGTGCGCATAGCAGCCTGTAGCTCTTCCCATGCCAGCTAAGCTTTATTTTCTTTTATGTTGAAATGAGCAATTTTATTGCCATCTATAATATTCTGACTTTTAGAAAAACTAAATGCCCATTTTTTTTTACTTCAGCAATGCTTGCTGGAGCAGTACCTCTGAACACACATTACAAATAGTATAAGGCTGCTTCTGTGAACTGGAGGGAAAGGAAATCCAAAATGAGAGACACCAGATTCGATTAGTAGTGCAGTTAGAATGGGGCATTGGGGATAATGTCAGATTCAACTTGGATCAGGGTGCAAAATAAACATCGGAGACATATTGGCCCAAATCCTATTTTAGTTGACTAGAGCAGACCCATTGAATCGTTGAGTTTAGTTCAATCCCATATTGTTAGGAATACACAACTAAAGCACTTTCCTTTTTTTGGGGGGCCAGTTATAAACCCTCAGCATAATGTCCATCACAGGTTTGTGAGGACGGAGTGGGTTGGAGGACTTCGACACGTGCCACTTTGAGCTCCTTGCAAGAAAGGGAGTGTATAAATGTAGTTAGGAATTAAACGTTGCATTGTGGAAAGTTCTCTTTTTGGCATGTTTTCAAGATGGTACATGGAATACTCCGAGGCTTAGCAAGGCAGAGTGGTACCACTGCTTTTCTCATTGGCCTCCTTTTTATAGAGTGGAATCTGGCATTATACAAACTTGGTTGAATAT